CACTCCAGTCTGGGCGACAGAGTGAGACTCCAACTCAAACAAAACAAAACAAAACAAAAAACTAGCTGGGCATGGTGGCGTGCATCTGTAGTTTCGGCTAATTGGAAGGATGAGGTGGAAGGATCGCCTGAGCTCAGCAGGTGGAGGCAGCGGTGACTGTGAGCATGCCACTGTACTCCAACCTGGGTGACAGACTAACATTCCCACTGGAAAATAAAAGAAAGACTGACAAATGTGTTAAAGGCAAGAAAAGTGTCGATCCCATCATTCTCTTGTTTGCTTGTTCTTTAATTACTAATATTATCTTTAGTTCGTGATTTCTTTGCAGGAGTCTTGTTATGCCCTTGACCATTTTGGAAGGGTTAACTTAGTGAAAAAGAAATACTGCAACGCAATCTGTAAATCCATTCAACAGGACACAGGCAACTGCAAGGTGCCACACGATATGCTGAGAAGAAAGCCATGAGTGAGATGTCATCCTCAACCCTTCCAGGGCAGCATTCCCATTCCTCCCTAGGATACCTCAGGAATGAATGAGGCTATTCTTCAGACAATATACAATACAATGGATTCACTCAGAGACTAGGATATTTTGCAGCTTTGGATACAATAACAATATATCACTGTTCTTGCCTCAAAATTATGTCCTAGTCCCTGTAATTGGTTATGGGTGGCCCTAAGTCTCTAGCCACCCACTTGCTGACAAGGTGATTTTTCTGTGTAGCTATTCAGTTTCTTCCATCACACTTTGATTCTCTTTATTGCTATTCTCTGAGGGGCACTTTACCTGAAGTTTTGGGCATACCCAAAGGACAAAACTGCCCTATACAGAACCACAAAGTGAGGATGAGGAAGCCACAGTCACCATTACATTTCACCATTAAAAGCATAGTTTTGCTGGGTGTGGTGGCTCATGCCTGTAATCACAGCACTTTGGGAGGCTGAGGTGGGAGGACCGCCTGAGTCCAGGAGGTCTAGACTTCTGTAAGCACTACACTCCAGCCTGGAGAAAGAAAGAGAGAGAGAGAGAGAGAGAGAGAGAAAGAAAACTGCTTTAAAAGCCAGGCATGCTGGCTCATGCCCAGCACTTTGAGAGGCTGAGGTGGGAGGATCCTTGAGCCCAGGAGTTTGAGGCTGCAATGAGCTATGATTGCACCACTGCACTCTAGCCTGGGTAACAAAGTGAAACATGGCCAAAAAAGGAGAGAGAGAGAGAAGAGGAGAGGAGAGGAGGACGAGAAGGGAGGAAGGAAGGAAGGAAGAAAGAAAGAAAGAAAGAAAGAAAGAAAGGAGAAAGAAAGAAAATACTGCCCTAGGGCATTTAAAAATTGGTTGAGATGGATTTTTGTTATAAGTAGTTCCGACTAAGTCTGCAGGAACTAGACACACAGGAGATCCCATGCCCAGTGTGTCTGCAATGAATTAAGAACAAAAGGAAGAATAAATCCCCATCTTAACCAAAGACAGTGAATAGCAGAGGGTTTTAGAGTTTGGACTCTATAGTCAGCCTTGGGTTGTTCTTTTCATTTCCTCCTTAGAGAATGTAATTATATTGTTTAGTAGGTAATGCATGCACATGGTACTCAGTGGAAATCGGAGGCTCCCACCCATCCTTAATCCCCAGTCTTCCAGTCCTTCTCCCCCACGGAAAACACAATTACTAGGTGCTTGTGCATTCTCTTAGTGATAGCGAAGGTATATTCAGCATACTTGTGTACATAGTCAATATAAATATATATTTAAAAACAGCTGGGCTCGGTGGCTCAGCCTGTAATCCCACGCCTTTGGGAGGCTGAGGTGAGTGGATTGCCTGAGCCCACGGGTTTGAGACCTGCCTGGGCAACTTGGTTGATTCCTCACCTCTATAATAAAACAAAAAATTAGCCGGGTGTGGTAGCGCGAGCCTGTCGTTCCAGCTACTTGGAAAGCTGAGGTGGAAGGATCACTGGAGCCCAGCAGGTCGAGGCTGCGGTGGCCAGCAGTGGCCAAAACTGCACTCCAGTCTAGGCGACAGAGTGAGACTCCAACTCAAAAAAATTAATTAATTTTAAAAAACCCAAAAAAACAAGGATGGGCATGATGGCTCACACCTGCCATCCCAGCACTTTTGGAAGTGGAGGTGAGAGGACTGCCTGAGCCCAGTGGTTCGAGACTAGCCTGAGCAACTTGGCAAGACCTCGTGTATGGTGACTTGCACCTGTAGTTCCAGTTACTTGGAAGGCTGAAGTGGAAGGATCACCTGAGCCCAGGAGGTCGAGGCTGTGATGAGTGTGACTGTGCCACTGCACTCCAGACTAGGCGACAGAGTGAGACTCCAACTAAAAAAAAAATTAGCCAGGCTCGGTGGCTCACCCTGTAATTCTGCGCCTTGGGAGGCTGAGGTGAGTGGATTGCCTGAGCCCGTGGGTTCGA